CTGTAAATGGTATATTTAGTGTGATTGATATATTCTACTTTGCTTTCGTCTGAAGTTACTCTTCTAATATTACTGCATATAATACACACACTTTTGGTATAGTAAGTGATATTTTCTTAAGCACAAAGCTACCCAATGGGCCATGTGTTCTCTAGTATTGCAGATATTCAAACCTGATTTTTAGTGTCATAAGCCCTTAGACTTGCAATTATAATGAGTGACAAAATAAAATTGAAATAAATAATAAATTCCTTTGATTAAAAAAAATCTTGAACTATAAGTTTGTTATAATAACAGTTTAGATTTATAAAACTAGCTGAGAAGCCAAACAAATGTTTTTGTAAATTGAAAAGGTTCATTAACATTATCTGAGAACTTCTATGTCCATGTACTAGGATTCTCAGGTTTTTAGTAAAATTCGTCAAGTAATATACAAGTAACAAGTTTACAATTTAAAACTGCTTTGAGATGTTAATTATCTGGCAAATAGCAGATAAACAGATTTGATTTTGGATCACTATGTATTAACATCATGTACAGTTAACAGTTGGTTTGTCTTATGAGGTAGTCCTGCTGGTATGTAGCAATTTAAAACTTTTTTGTTCTTTAATTTGTGTCTTTTACTATTAAGAAATTGTTTTATTTAGTCAAGTTGATGAAGTGAGTGTAGAATCAAAGTTTGCACGTATAATAACTAATTTGTTTTTTGTTACAGTTAAAACCAGACAGAGGAGTGTCTATTGTATAAACTATTTTATTACAGATATGCAATTCATATGTTTTAGTCTTTAAATGGCCAAGTCATCTGAAAAATTTCTATAGTTTTAAAATTAACAATATCATAAACCAACTTTTTCAGTAGTATTTCATCTATATTTTTGTTCGTGTTACCTGTAAGTGAACTTTGCTTACAAGATTGTAAGCAGTTATTTATGATAATCAGGACCACAAAATCCATATTTTTAAATCCACCTTTCTCAAGCATTAATGTTGTGTTGTACTTAATTCAAATGATACATTATAGTCAGCAACACAGTACAACAATAAAATACTGCAAACGATGATGAAATATGTTATGACAATGTATGAATGAAAAAAAAGACATTAGAGGAGAAGATTTACATATAAAATATGCAAAGAAATTTTTTGAAATTAGAATTTAAGTGAAAATATTCATATTTCGTAACAATATGCAAAATACATATTAACTTGTCTCAATATCATTAAATTTAGTGAAAATGAAAAAAGAAAAATAACCAAAATTGGTCTAAGTAAGAAATAATTAGCAATCAAAGATAAGCAAGTAAATTTACAAAAAAAAAATTAAAACTTTAAAATAGATAAGCAAAAGAAAAATGGTAAAGGGTTCATTGATTGCATCATTTATTAATGTTCTTCTATTAACTTTGTATGTGTTTTATATAGAATTATATATACACTGTCCTGTCATGATCTAAGGGTTAGGTTGCTCAGTTTTCAAACAGAGTGGTAACTCAAAGTAAGAGTAAGGTTGATTGAAAATGTGTGTGTGATATATATAATTACATAGGCTAACCTATATTATGATTCACAGACGTTTTTTCCTTAATCTGAAAAGATTCTTTATGCTTTCTTTGTAGAATTTTATCACATTTTTGTTTTGTCTGTGTGGAACAAATATCTTCAAAACTGCTGTTTCTTGCTTAGCATTTTTCATAAATCTACTCATGTTTAAAAGCAGAGTGAACAAGTAATTTAGTCTGTTTTCAGGTTTTGACATTTAGCCCTATTTTTTTAAATTTTGACTACTACTGATAGCCTTTCATATCTAACAGATACATTTTCATCTGTGTAAAGGTGGTACACTTTTTTCTCTTCATTTTTTGGAAACACTGTTTATGTAACTGCCAGTAGAACCATATTGATTAACCAATTTTAAAAGATAAGTTTTTCAGAATACGTTCAATCTCTAGTACCTGTTTTTCCTTGTGCTGTTACAAATACTGTCAAAGCATTAAGTTGGACAAAAATATCATTTTAATAAGAGGATGGTGGTGAGGATAATTATTTTATATATAAATTAGTGACTAAGACATTGTTTTCAATAATCTAGTGTCTTAAGAATTAGTGATCTTGTTTCATAATCGGTATATATAACTGAATTTAACAGGACTGACATTAGTTAGAAAAAGGACAGTCAAAATTGTGTGGTATGGTTATAAATCCATTTGCTAAAAATGTCATCAACAAAACATTGCATCAATGTGTAGGTGTCTGGTTGGTTTTAAATTTCCACTGAGTAAAGGCACCTTCTAATACATGCATATAAATTACAGTTAAACTGTTGTTGCTCATAGCAAAACGTTGAGTTTCTTTAGTTTTCCATTGATCCAAAAGTAACTAAATTAAAATATAATGTTCTTTCAAATATTGAAGAGAAATCATGAGGTCATTACAATTTGTATACCCTCATCTAGAGGAACAGAAGGATACATAGAAATTATGTTAAGTTATTAATGGGGCATCTTATTTCAAACTTTTAAAATAAACTTGTTAGTGTTAATAAGGTGTGCTGGAACTTCATTTAAAAGATGATGTATTCTTTTCAAGTAATCAGGATAAAGGAGTAAATAGCGAGTTGTAATTTGGAACCATTGGGCTTAAGGAAAGTTTGGTTTGTTTTGTTTAGGTAGTTACTATATAGTCCACCAGTTTATGTATGTGACAACTTCATGTTATGTTGGTAAATTTTTATTTCTTTAAATTTATTATCTTTTTGATCTTAACTCTTGTTTTCTACTGGGGTCACAGTTAAGATTCTCCAAAGAAATTTCATGTAACACATTACATATTTTTTGTGTAGATACTGTGCTTTCGGTACAACAAAAATCTTTACTTTTGGCACTAACTTTTACAACAATATCATTACCCTGAAGGGTCTTTTATAACAACCCTTTTATTTTTTAATATGGTACTCTTTAAAACCATCCGATATGTTATAAATTTATTTTCATTTATCAATTTTATCTTCAGTATTTTATCAGTTTTAGAAAGAAGAAATCCAGGTAGATTAAATAGAATAACATGAATAGAATTAATATCAATAGTGTTATCTTGAACATTTACAGTATTATCATGGTTACTTTGTATTTATCATCAGAAATGCAGCATTTTGGAATAACTTTTGAACTTAACATTATCAAGATTGCTTGTGAATACATTCATAGAAGATAAAATATCTAACTTTAAGCTTTTGAAAGATTATTTGTAATAGCATTTAGACTTGTACTTAGTACCTCTGTATAATCATGTGACAATATTAATGTTGTCTACAACATTATCTTTTTTACCGAAGTCTTCATTTAATACACATTTTATAAAAATGTGTAGATTACACCAGAAACATGATTTGAAGAAATAAGTGATGGAGGGTGTTCATGTTGCTAAGAGGGAACTTTGGAAAATGGTGAATTTCATCAGAATATTCTAGATGTTGTAGAGAAAGCTTTTTAAACTTCCAATCTAGATTTAAACCTTTTACCTCACTTTCACCTTACTGTAAAAATCATTATCACATTTTTCTATGGTGTTATGGTTCTCATAATTGAAATCAAATGTTTTGCTTTCTATCTGTGCATTGTATCAGTAACATCATGTAGAAAACTAACCAAGAATAGCTTAAATTGTTGAATGGATCTAAAATTATACTTGACACAGTTAGGTAGACTTTGATATCACTAGCATCTGTAGTGTTTTGTAAGTTAATTTTTGCTTTTGTTTTAGATAAGCATGTATAACACTTGCAATATAGGTTGAACTTTGTAATTTGTGTGTATGTGTGTCTATATATATATTTAGACAGATTTAAAACAAGTAACAACTGATATAATTGGTGTTGAAGTCTTGGGTGGTTTCTCTGATTTTGCCTTTTTATTTACATATCTAACATCTTTATTTTTTTCTTAATTATTTGAACTGCTTAATTTCAATCATGTTAATTATCATACAGATGTTGATTCTGGTACAAATTTATTTTTGTACTTATTTACATTTTTTGTTAGACTAAGGTTATTAATCTTGAGAGAAGAGCATTAATATGTGTATTATGAGGAACAAACATTGTGCTCTGACCTTTAATTTTATCAATTTTTTGGTGTATTTTATACATGTATTTTTGAAATTATTGCTCTCCCTTCACACATTGTCAGATCCAAGCTGTTATGGATTAAAACAAAGCACTGCTACAACTAGGGTTGAACATAAAACAATTTATTAAACTTTAACAACAACAGAAAGCCAAAATAAAACTTTCAAACAACTCTTATGAATGCTTACGACAACAAAAAAAAAAAGTTAAATACATGCCTGGCCAGGACTTGATACAGACGTTAATGAACAATAAGACATAAATATCATTGATATTACTTTCAATAAAAGAATTAGAAAAAAGGAAAAATCTTGGTTCTGAAAAAAAAAAAGCAAATAATATTCCAAAATCAATAACAATAATGACTAACAAACAGCAATAAT